TCCCCCGCGAAGGTTGGGGGGGTGGGGGGCGGGGCGGGCCTCTGGTGGCCAAGTTCGCCTGCGCTCGGGGGAGGGGGAGGGGGGTGGCGAATCGGGTGCGCGAGCCAGTCGCTGTCCCGAGCCGAGCTCCAGCGCCGGCGGTGGCAGCGAGCGGCGAGCACGGACTCGGTGGAACTGGCTTTGCCATGGGACACCTGCGGCTCTTGGGGACCTGGGGCCTCTGGGGGCTGTTCCTCTGTGCCGCGCATTCCCGCACAGGTAACCGGGTCGGGGAGCCAGGGGGACAATCAGGAGAGGTCTGCGTAGACGCCTCTCCTGCGCTTGGAGTCACGGGAAAGGTGGGACCACCTGGCACCTACCCTGGGCCAAGGCTGTGGGTGCGGTTGCCTGGTGATCCTGGGGACAAGGAAGGCAGGAGTGACACACTGAGACGGAGACAGAGAGACAGAGACAGGGACTCAGAGCGCGAGAGATTGCTTTTAATTTATCAGTGTTGCTGCTTGAATTATGAAAACCTCACCCCCACCCCACCTCCCCACCCCCGCCACAAATGACACAATTTAAGAGACTGAAATTTGGCTGGGGGGTGGGGTGGTGGATGGGGGGGAAGACAAAACCTGAGTGCTCCCTCCTCTCACTCTTCTTAGGTCCCTTTCCCCACTGAAGGGAGGACAGTGTCCTCCAGTAGGTCAGGAATGGGTCTTTGTGGCAGGTGTCAGTCACTCCTAGGGTGTCTGGCAGCTGTCCTGTGTCTTCAAATTAATACCTAGGAGAGGGCTGGGAAGAGACTGATAAGATAAGAAATTGGAGCTGTCTGGGAGATAAGGAGAGGCTGAACCCGAGATAGGTGAGGAGCGGTACCGTCTGGAGATAGGATCCGGCTCCCTCCCTGGAGTTTCCTACTCTTGGCTGTCTGGGGCCCGAAGTTATGAGTGCGCTGGCAGCAGGAACACCTTGGATCTGTTGGCAAAGACAGACCCGAAGTACAAAAACAGTGGGTCTGGGGGCTGGGAGCTGGTCTTTATGCGGGAGAGTTTTGCTATAATAGCCGAAGTCCACACTAAATATATTCCAGGCAGGAATGAACTATACAATCATAATTCCCTTAACCTTTTTTACTATATCCATTTCAAACAATTAAAAATTTCTGTGGCTTTTCTTTGTGTCCTCACTTAAATTTTTCTACCCACTCTGCGAATTAAGCAGAAAATAAAAACTTCTAACTATTGTGTATCTCTGAGTTGTTTTAAAGAATGACCTGCAGTTCTCCAAAGCAGCAGCTCACTCATCCCTGCGTTTCCGTAGGCAGTTCCCACTGTCTAGAACTCGCTTCATTTTTCTGATGGTAGCTCCAGGCTAGTTAATTCATATTTACCCTCCAAGATGTGGCAAGGCATTTTTTTCTTTCTGGAAGCCAATGTGGCCCAAGCAGTGTGGGCGAAATGTCTTTTCTGAGTCACCCATAGCCCTTGTGTTTTCTTTTGTCACTCCATACTGTCTAAGCTAAGCTTTTGAAAAGTTAAGACTGTTACATATGTCTGTATCCCTAGGAAGCTAACACGGTTTGTTGAGTGAATTAGTGACCTTTCCATTAAGAATTCACTATCATCAGGAGGCTAGAAAGATCCCAGAAATCTAGACAGTCTCCCTCTGTCACAGAAAACAATTTCTTCTTAAAATAAAACATTCCTCTTTGTACCTGGACTATTCTTTCAACCTACCTAGTGTTGCACGTCTTATGTGCTTTTGTAATGACCTATTTCTCCACCTCTGTTGCTATGTGGGTTGCTAAACATAGCTATGGATCTGCAGTCAATAGAGCATTACATGAAATTAAGGATTAATAAATGTTTTATTATATACATATATAATATGGTAGGTAAGAATGATGAAAATATTTGTGGATTATTCCTGCTCTTTGTAGCACCTGAGATAGTGCTTTGTGTAAGGCCAGTGAGTATTAACTAAGTTAATGGCTTAACTCCCTGTCAAGTCACTAGTTAATCGTAGAGCCAAAAGTAAAATTTGAGTGTGTTTTACTTTCAGTCATATAACCTTCACAATGTTTTTCTTACAACATTGAGAAATGTGAGACAAAATTTGTTGTTCAAAATGAGGAACTGACAATTTTACCTGTACTATAATATCTTCCAGATGGCCCTAAAATAATCCCCAGAGTGACAGAAATAAACCCTAAATATGGCAGTATAAATGGAGCAACGAGGCTGACTATCACAGGAGAAGGTATGTTTGCCTTTTTCTTGTTTTGCCAAGGCTGAAGTATTTTAAAGACTATTTCACATTTAGAGCTTTATGGTTTTAAAAAAGAAAACAAAACAAAACGTTGCAGTTGTTTCTCCACTTGGCCTTAGTAGTAAAACCCCATCCCCTTTGGTAGCTAATGAAATCCCCAAGAGTCTCTACCAATCTGATCATATGAATTCTTATTATAATTACTTGCTTAACACCAAGATCTGCATTTAATGTCTGAACTGAAAGAAACGTCTTTAACCCAACTCTGCAATTATTTGCTTTATTCTTCATGGGTCTAATAGCATTTATTTTTATATAAATAAAACATTTTGGGGGTGTCAGGGTACAATGTTAATAAGAGGGTATTATAGAGAAATGGAATGATAATGAAAGAAGAAATGCAATAGAAGGCAAAACTTCGGATCTCTTTTCCTGACACCCAATTCCTGTCATATGCTTCATCAAGGCATGGGTTATGTATGATTGCCTTTCTCACTGCCTGATCTTGAGATGAAAACATAGAAGGCAATCACTAAATATATTTAATGAATAGCTATCCCTAGGTTTAAATAGAAATATGTGGTTCTTTCAGCCATAAAGCCTTCGCAATATAAATGATAGTAGTATTCAGATACTTATGAATTTTTGAAGAGTAGGAAAGAAACATTAAAAAGAATATTAACAAAATGTATTATTTGGTCTTTAAAAATAAGAAATGAGAAGTTTTTGGAGTCAGAGAGTTGACAAAGCATGTAATTTTAGAATTGCATGAAGCAGTAATATGTCAATTGCGCATGAACACTCCCTAAATGGAATTGCAAATTCTAGATGATTACCTAAATGTTGCTCCTATAGGACTTTTAAAAAAGTTTTACTTTTGTAAAAGTCATTATAAAAAATAAAATATAGAAGTGTTTGACTTAGAGAGTGAGTTCTCTGAAATTGCACCCACTAAAAAGATGTACTGTTAATATTTTGCTATATCCAAATTACTTTTGGCTATCTCCAAATATGATATTGATGTTTAAAGGCAAGTTTTAACATTTAAAGATTCGCTACTGCATTACTTCATTCAAAAGTCTGTGCTTCAGGAACCAAAGATATATAATTCTACAATTTTGATGGCCAAGCAAAAGTATTTCAAGCAATGGCATGATCACAGAAATAATTGTCTCCTAAGGTGACTGATTTGACGAGGAGCATTATCTTTTTGATAAGTTCTAAAGTGTGTGTAACTATATTGATTTTGTTATTTTATGGTCATACCTTGTATTTCTCAATTGTCTTCCTTGGTAACTATCAGTTTGTCTTTGTCTAAAAAAAAATTAATGACATGGGAGAAGCCACATTTTTCTTCCAACTCTTTTTTTCTAGTTATTTCACTATTACAATGTCTGGCACACAATTTTTGATGAAACGGAGTATTGAATTACATAATTTTTATAATATTATGGAAAGCACATGGACTTTAGTTGAGTCTGACTAGCTTTCAATTCCATATTTGCCACTTCACATTATGTGACTGGAACAAGTTACTTCTCTGAGCATCAGCTTCCTCATCTGTAAAATGGGGTATTAATTCCTACTTCTTGGGGCTACTGTGAATATTGAAGAGGCTGATGTATCTAAGGTACCCATTGTATAGTACATGTGCTATAAATTAGAGCTATTTCATTTTTATTATTCTTTTGCATTTATGTTGTAGGGTTGTTTTCACTTTTTAGGAATTATCATCCATCTATCACACTGTATCTCTCCTTCCCATCGTTTTGAATGTTACAACTTTTAAATTGGGTAAAACATTCTCAGCCCTGCTTTTTTTTTTTTTTTTAAAATCAGAAAAACCAAAACAACTTGCATTGTACAAGACAAAGGCTGACTTTAACAACAATGCCATTTTGCATGAGAGCAGCATGGGCGTTACTTTTGGATTGCTGCTATCAGGAGATACAGGTTTGCGTGCCTGGCAAAACCTGTCTCCGGTTTTCTGCAAAAGAAAAAAATACATCAATATGTCAGGAATTTCCATCTGAAGCCTCAACCTTTTCTGTTTCCAGAGTACACCCATCCTTTCCTGTAATGTTTGTGCTTTGGAGTACTTCCAGAGGTGTCTTCTTTATCCCAATTATTTGTTTAGAGTTATACTTTTAAGTTAAAATTCTTTTAAAAAAGTAATTCCCTTGTATTTCTTTTTAACTCATTGGAATTAACCAAAAAAATCAGACATGTTTCTATACTTGTGTTTTATTAAGCAGAATTTATGATGAAAATATTTACAAATATTGTTGACGTGGCTCATATTTTCCCCTAGATTTTATTCCTAAGACATTTTCATATTTATGTATTTGACATTATAGCAACTCCTAAGCTAAAAACAGTATCATCTTTTGTTGGCATTATTTTCAGAACTGTAGTTGTCTAAGGAATGCTGAAGAACAGATCTGTGTTACCGTATCATTGACGTAACATGTACCTGGTAGGAAAATAAATATATATATATATCACATCCTGCACCACACCACAAGTAAAACTTTCCATTCTTTAATTAGTTGCTGGCAGCCCTTCTGTGTGTTCCAAACTCAATGTGATCTCCAAAGATAAGCAGAAGTTGGCCAAAGGAAAGAGTGGGTTTACAAATAGCCTGCCTTTCTGTGTTTTCATCTCTTTTCACAATTTTATTTTAGCAGTAATTGCCTCTCTAGATTCAAAACTGCACACTCAATATAGGCATATTTCACATGTAAAATTGATATTTGTATTTGTACTTTTTAGTCTATACTGGATAAATCTTTTAGTTAGGCTTTGAGCTTAGGAAAAAAAGTGGTGTTTATTAAAATTCCTACCCTTTGTTGAGTTTCTACTTACTTTTCCTTTATATAAAGGAAAGGATAAGATAGGAGCTAAGAACGTAAGGGCTGGAGGAAACTACATTGGGTAAAAGCTCATAGCAGTGGAATCTACAACCTGGGTTCAAATCCTGACCTTCCACTTACTAATGCTGTGTTATTTTTAAAAAGGAATATTAGTGCTGAACCTAAATCTCAGGATTCTTGTGGCTAATAAATAAGAGCAGATATCTATTGAGCTCTTAACAGATATCTTATTGAGCCAGGTAGCATATTAAGAAATATACATAAATTATCATTTAGTATTCTTAGTAATCCAGTAAAATAGATTATGATCACTTTTTTTCTGATGAGAAGACTAGGCTGAGAAAGGAGTTATCTCACCCATGGTCACTTTGGCAAGGAAGGGCTGGAGCTGGGATTCCAACCTAGGATGTCAGGGTCCAAAGCCTGGATCCTTTCCATTAAATAGGACTGTCACCTAACATGCAGCTTCACCAGAGCTGGAGTTTAGGGGCTTTGGTATTTGATGAACATCTGACACAATGAAGTCCTACTTAAACTATGCTAAACTAGGCAATAGTCATGTTTTCTAATGTACCTTTGTAGAATGCTGAAAATGTTCAATAATTTAAAAAAGCAGTCACCCCATAAATATCTAGCAACTCTAATTCTGCCACTTCAACTATTAGATGTTATTTAATGACAGTAAATATTGTAGCAATGATTGTTTTGTTTAAACATCCCTGAAGACTACTAACATTTTAAGGTAAATACCAAAAATTTATCTTTTTCTAGCATCACTATTAAATATAGAATATTCATATTATAGTATTATTTATAGTATTACAAATCGTATTATGCACAAGATTTAAAGAGTTAAATCTACCTCGCTGGGTTTACCATTTCTTTCTTGATTACTGATGTTAAGTTCATTACTGTACTGTGGAATGATATGGTTTGTAGGTAATTAAGTTCTGAAATTTAAATAGCTTGTAAAATTACATTAATAACATGGATGCAAATCTTTTACTACAAAAGGAAAATTGTCATAATTTCAAAGATAGTATTAGTCATCAATTTGACTATAGTGGTGTATAATGTTAAGCACCAGTGATATTCAGAGAAAAATAATATTTAAAAATGCATTTATTTTTAGAACTCAAAATTTAGGAATTTTAGATTTTGAAGTAATCTGGGCAAAACCTGTTTATTTACTAATTTAACTTTGTTCCAAAAAATATTATAATATAGACAGCTTCACAGATGTGTGCAATTCACTCTGCATACTAGAAAAATCTTAAGTATCTTTTTAACATTTTTATTAGGGGAATATTTAATTGAATGATTTAATTAATAGAACGTTATCCAATTAATCTCAACAATATAAAATATTGTTACATGGCACAAAATAATCCATGTTTAATTACTTCCAAGCGTAGTTTTGGATTTTCATATGTTTATAGTAAGACTAAAATAATTTTCTATTCTATTTAACATCACTCATTTGTCTCTCTGTTAGATCATACCCATCAGCGTGCAAACAGGCTGCTATTTCTCCCATTTGAAAAAAAGTAAAAAGGAAAATCATCAAACTTCCCCTTGCTCCACACCCTTCTCCAGCTACCACCCCATTTCTTTGTTTTCTTTTATAGTAAAACTGAAAAAAAGTGTTATCAATATTTGCTCTCTTCACTAACTGTCCTCCAGCCTTCTCTTGAGCCCAGGCCAAGCATCTGTCCCATCGCTCACTGAGAAGCATCTTCACTCCTGCCCCCAGTCTGTTCTCGGAACAGCAGCTGGTAAATCTCAGAGAATGTAAGTCAGATGATATCATTCCTCTGCTTCAAAGCCTCTAGTAGTTCTGCACTCATAAAAATCACCTAAAATCTCCAACTTCTGGTCTCCTCGCCTACCACTTCTCCTCATTCATACTTCTCCAATCACACATGTTATTACTCAAATCCACAAACATGCTCTCACCACAGGGCCTGGCACATTCTCTTCCCTCTAAGAAATTCACTTCCCAAAGATATTTTCATAGATTGCTAGCTTGCCCTCTCTGAAAATCTCCCATGAGCATCTATGTCACATCTCATGTGTCCCATTTCACATCATTATAGCACCTCCTTTGATTTCAGCCATAAATATATGCCGAGAAGTGGATCCTGGGCTCTTAACTCACTTTCCACGGTCAACCTCCCCGGTAGGCAGAGCTGTGGGCGGTTATGTGCTCAGTAACTCTATATGAAGGGAAAGGTGGTCCGTTGTAAGAATATACATGGGATGTGGGCAGTGGCAGGTGATTTGACTAGTTGGTCAGAGGCTGGCAGGAACAAGATCAGAAGATCAGAAATAAAAATATCTTAGAAAGAGGTATGTGAATGGACTCATGGTAGAACAAAGTCTGCAGATCTAAGTGTCACAAATTAACCCACAAGAGAGCATCCCCTGCAGAAGAGATGGAACAAATTGATTGGATTTCTCATCCAGGAACTTGGGAAATGTGCTCATGAAGACTGGCCGTGAGTTGGAGGCTGTGTGGGGGTCAATGCCATGGACTCCGTTTCACTAAAGCTAGCCACTCTATGGCTATTGGTGAATACCTGGCCTTCCAGTAGTAGAGACCAACACTGAGGGTACCAGCCCTCTAGAAGTCCACCCAGCTACTTAATGCCAAGGTGGTTTCTCAGTGCCCCTTCTCTCACAGAAAGAGTAAAGTTCATTGTTACTAGAATGACACATGCTCCAGATATGGGTTTTGCCTTCTTTTCCCACAGTGCCTCTATCAGCATCATCTTCTGAGAGCTTACATATCCTGATTTACTATCATAAGATTCCATGAAATATTGTCTCAGAACAAGAAATGAATTTTATACTGAAAAAGCTGTGATAATGGACACATAACCATGAAACGTGTGTCATTCTTAAACATCTGGCCTAACAGAATGATAGAACAGCCTAGTAAAGCCATGGCCAAGATGCCAACTTGGGAACAACATCCTGTGGGATGGGATGCTGTCCTCCACCATGTGGTATAGGCATTGGATCATGGCAGACATATGCTAGTGTTTCTCAGTGGATAGAATGCATGGAGCTGGAAATAAAGGGTTGCTTCCCCTTACCACCACTCCCAGTGATCCAGAAATTGAATTGATGCTTTCTGTCCTCACAAGCTTAGGTTCTGCTGGATTTGGGGTCTGAATTTCCAAGTACAGAATGCTTCTGTCAAGGGTCACAATATGGGTTCCACTGAACTGAAACTACCACTACTACCTTATCGGTTTGAATTTATCAAGCATATTTAGTATACTATAGTATGCTATCAGAGATGATCATAAAGAAGCAGGGTTGCTTTTACTTAACACACATAGGGTGGAGTACGTCTGGAGTTCAGGGTATTCATGGGGGTATCTCTTAGCTTCCGTGTCCAGTGATAACTGTGAATGGGCAATTGCAGCAACCATGACTCAACAATGACAAGGCAATTACGGACTCAGACTTCTGAGGATGAAGGTTACTGTCACCCCATTAGCTGAAGTGCTGGCTAAGGGTAAGGGAAATTTACAATGGGTGAAACAGAAGAGGACTGGTAAATATTGATTATAGCCTCAGGGCCAGTTATAGTAGAGTGGCTTGTAGCTTGTCCCACTAACTCTCTCATATTAAACCTTTAGAAGAGCTCTCAGCTGGCCACCACCTTGAAGACTTGGTGATAGATTGTGCTTAAAACGTAGGGCATGTTTGGTGAGACTGTATCAGATGCCTTTTAGATTCAGCCTCATATCCTCTTGTTCTTACTTCTAATTCTAGCCACAGCTGTGGCAAATAGTTCCCTCTGTATTTTGACTCAGTCTTGCCTGAAGTTCCCACAACATATCTTTGTTGACTGTCCAAGGGCTTCTCTGATACAGTGACTTAAGACATCGGAACCTGTATAGCACATACCAGTGTGCAGCCTGAAAGTGCAGGAAAAGTTATTTCTACTGGGAGGAACCTTCAATCAGTGGGGACCAGATTTGATTAAAAAAAATGCTCCTTGCCATTGATTCTTTGATTTGAAGAGGCATTCTACACTTTCTTTAAAATTTCCCAGCAAGATTTAGCTCATTGTCCTCAGTGGTGCCCAGAGTTTCTTTCTTCACGTCTTATTCTTCCTCATCCCTAAAGGATCACTGCCCAAACAAACTAGCTGCTTGCGAGTCCTCCTCTCAAATAGCTTTATGGGAATTCTAGATAAAGACCACCTCCCTTATAAAATAGTGTTCTCCTCCTCGACTCTTTCTAGCCCCGTTAGCCTGCTTTTCTCATAGTAGTTATCCCCACCAGGTATAGCAGATGGTGCCACACACACACATACCCACAAACACACAGGCACTTCAAAAAGTATGTGGAAAAATGGAATTAAAAGATAATATGAATCTCCTTAAACTTCTGAGACCCCTCGTGTGTGTATGCATATATGTATATACATATTCTCAAGCAATACTTTTATGAATAAATTCATTAAAGACCAATTTTTATGCTTCCAAAGATTATGATCATAGGAATAAATATGAAATAGGTTAACTGCTTACTTCGGTACTATTCATTATTATTTATTAAGTGATTTGATACTGAGTGACAGTTGTTAGATCTCTGAACGTAGAATTCCATTAATAACAATTGAATTTTCTTACTTTTCCAGGTTTTTCTCAAGCAAACCAGTTTAACTATGGAGTTGATAATGCTGAGTGGGGAAACAGTGTGCAGTTAGTTTCTTCCTTCCGGTCAATTATTTGTGATGTAGAAAAAGATGCAAGTCATTCAACTCAGATTACATGCTATACTAGGTTTGTTTTAAAGTATCTCTAAAAATGTCATTTTCACCATATCAGAAATCACAGTTATGCATATTAATATTGTAATAATTTTATAACCCTGGCTATTTAAGTAATGTTTTTCCGAATATCAGTTACTTTTTTTCTTTTTCACATACACCTGCAGATCTATATGTCATTATTTTTTATTTTATTGTGTTTGTACTATTTTATCCCTTTATTATATTCCATTGTAATGCTCTTTTCACATATGGGCATAATAAAATATATTTTATATCCTTTTCCATGTTATTAGAGCTATTATCTTATCATTATTGAGCTCTTTAGAAGATAGATGGCTACTATTAAATTGTAATGATGTGCCTCAAAATACCAAAATTATGCTTTCCTGTCCTGTTTGATTAATTATGTTCAAAATCTTCACATAGTCATTAAGATTAATGATGATCATTTTGTATAGTGACATTTCAAGTTCTTTACTCTCAGCCCAAATTGATGTATGTTATTAGCGACTTAGGAAAAAAATATTTAAATAATTTTAAATTGCAACTTTCAATATTGACCTTAGAAACAGGTAGCACATATTCCAGAGGATTTCATCTACATTCAACTGTTGGCTATTTTTCAGCAGTAAAAGCTTACTTAGGGGGAAATTTGATTAACTAATATTTTTTAAAAAATAAAGCATGAAATAATGGAATGTACCAACGTGGTATGTTACTATTTTAAATGATTATTATTACGTTTGTTGTTATTCCATTTGCTGTCCTTTTACGATAAGCACCAGTGCGTGTAGTTAGAATAGGTATTTGTCTGAGGTATATGATGTTAGAATTTATAATACAGAGTTCAGGATAAATATCGTCTTTCTATAATATAGAAAACAATTTAACTAGACATCACTTAGAATTTTAGACACTCTTTATCAGAAATGACATGTAGTCTGTCTGGGGCAGCATTTTTCCTTAATACTATACATGAAATAAAAGAGTTATTGCATTCCTCTCATGTTCTTCATTTACCTTCTAGAGCAATGCCAGAAGATTCGTACACTGTTAGAGTCAGCGTGGATGGGGTTCCTATTGCAGAAAATAACACCTGCAAAGGGCATATCAACAGCTGGGCATGCAGCTTCAATGTATGTGGGGATCTCCTCTTTACATATAATTGATTTTGTTTTCTTTCAGAACTGGGTTTTTAATTTTTTAATTTTGCAGATTGTTACATACTTCCACATTTTTTTCTTTTGTCCTTTTTTTTTTGAGACCAGCTGCACCGCGCTCAGCCAGTGAGCGCTGTGAGTGCACGGTTCATCCCTATATAGGATCCGAACCCGCGGCGGGAGCGCTGCTGCGCTGCCAGCGCTGCACTCTCCCAAGTGCACTACGGGCTCAGCCCACATATTTCCACATTTAAAACTTAACATGTAGGGCCGGCCCGGTGGCGCACTGGATAGTGCGCTGCTTGGGAAGCGGGGCGGCGCTCCCGTCCGAGGGTTCGGACCCCACATACGGACCGGCTCTCGCTCACTGGCTGAGCGCGGTGCAGCTGGTCTCAAAAAAAAAAGGACAAAAGAAAAAAATGTGGAAGTATGTAACAATCTGCAAAATTAAAAAATTAAAAACCCAGTTCTGAAAGAAAACAAAATCAATTATATGTA